TTATCCGAATCAATTGGGGACTGGGGTTGTTCGGAAAATCGATATTTCGGATAACCGATTATGTACAAAAAAATATATTAACCTATCCCATGTTGAAATTTTTCTCCGTTGCGTGTCGCTTCGCATTGAATTTTCGTCGATGTTAAGCCTAACGAAGACTATTGTATCGTTAAAAATTATTTTTTTATTTTGTACAAACAAAATAAATATATTGAAAAATATCAAAACAATAAAAAATTATACTTCAGAAGTTAATTTACTATCAAAAACGTAAAATATTTGAATAGCCCAAGACATAGCCAAAGATTGCAGCACCACAGCACTGGCGAAAATTTAAATTTGCCGACTGGAATTCTTTCGGATAATTGACGTTTCAAATAATTTTCTTTCAAATAATCGATGCTCTACTGTATTCTTAATATTTATATCATAAATAATGAAGAATGAATTTTAGTTTCATTATATTGCATAATTTTAAGAAATTTTTTTCTTACATTCAATAAAAATGAAAGTTAGAAATAAATAAACACAGAGAAAATTTACTCACAATTGTTTCTTTAACAGGTTCATCTAAAGTATTAAATTCCGACTCTCTAGTTTCAGGTGTCACAATTTCACCTTCTAGCTGTGAATCATACTGATATGAAGGTAAACCTGACTCCCGTAAACCTGTATCTGAATGTTCGTGCACCTGCAAGTATAAATGTGCAAGAATAAATACACAAACCTACATGTAACATGCGTAGATTATAGAACGACATTTGACAGTATTTGACAGTCATGGTTACTGTATACAATACATCTATACAAAATACTCATTACATTTTTAGAAAACAGTGCAAAATTAGAAAACATTACACCTCAGACTTCATGACACACAAAAACAAATGAAATACTGTACATGTAAGGCAAGGCATTTTCAAGAGTAACTCTTTTAAGACCATTTTGGTTTTTTCTGGCTTTGAACCCAATGTCCAACAGGTTATATGGTTACACAACACTAAATATGGATACATCAAGAACAACACAATGCATATTATCTCATGTACATACATAAACAACATAAAATTTTACACACAAACACTGCTAAATCACCTGTTAGACATTACACAAATTTACTCCACTGATATTCAAATAGAGTTTGGTCCATACCAGGGATGTCCAACCCACGACCTGCTTCATATTTATATGAGGCCCACTGTCCCCCCAAATTTTTTAGGTATATTTTCATTTATTTTTGTAAAGTATGTCGTAAAAATTATTCTCATTTCACTGGATACACTTTAATGTAATAATGATGTAATTGGTGTTAGAAAACTGTTTCATCTAGAGAACTGTTATGCATGCGGGATAGTACAGTGCATACTGTTGTGAACAATTCTTTTTGCACATGTAAAACATCAAGATTGCTAAAAGAGATAGGTTGAGTGATTCTCATTTAACTAACATTCATAGAATTAAGACTAGTACCATAAAAGCAGATATTGATAATATTATCGATACGGTTCAAATTCTCTATTCGATTTTGGATTGCCTGAAGACGACGTGCACGTCGTCTTCAGGCAATACGTCGAAAGCACTCGCAAGATTAAATTATGGGAAAATTTGTTTCCGTTTTAGAAAAAATTGATTTATATACAGTAATACTAAAAATTGATTTATATACAGTAAACTTACGCAATAGGTGGGACCAAGCGATAACCAAGTAAGTTGAATTTTCGTAAGTCGGGGTATAATTTTGCAATTTGTGTAAAATCCAAGTCAGATGTATGTAAGCTAATAAATGTTCTCATTAATTTTATCTCGTTTTTTGATTCGTTCACGGTTACAAGAAATCACCACATAGAGTCTCTCTAGTCTCCATAGATATAACAAACACGGAAATAAATAANTGACAAAGCACTAAACAAAACAGCATTAAATGAGGTCACTTCTTTAACATAGAGTAAATAGGGAAAGGGGAGAACACAACCAAAAAGAAACAAATTTTACTTTAATTTTACATTATTTTTATATTAATTTGCATAATAACATAATAGTTATTTAACATATACAGTATATGTTAAATAACTCATAAACATATGAACACAGATATGTAAAGTTTATTTTTTATGATGAAGATCCTGATTTTTTTTAAATTTTTGCTTTTTACAACAAAGTCATGTAGTTTCATTTGTCACTTTTTTCTTTCCTTAAGCAATCGTCAGTAGCATGAGATTGCATCCAAAATGCCTCATTTTGTTTTTGCACTCCTTTCAAAATCTGGATCATTCGCTACAATTTGATAAACAATTTCGGTTATCGTTACCAAACTTTTACTAAGGAAATCAGTAGAGAAATTCTTCGGGATTTTCATTTTCATTATCTCTATTTTCCAGTTCTAACCAATGACGACCTTCAAGAACTAGCAAATTCCTTGTTCTGCTAGTTCTTGAAGGTCGTCGTTGGTTAGGCTCTCACCAGAAACCTGCAGTAACTCCTCATATCCTGCTCATCTACATCTCCTAGTCCTACTGTATCAGACAGCCGGATGGCCAAGTGGTCAAGGTGACAACCTACCGCTCTGGGGGACAGGATCAAATCCAGATGGATTGAATAATCCCCAGGAATTTTCCGGGAGTGGTCCGTTCAGATATGTCAAGCCCCGTCCCTCACCACCCAATCATCACATTCTGGACCTGACCAAATCCATAATGGCCTTGCAAAAAGAGACCCTCTTAGTGCCCACAAGGCAGAAAGAGTTTAAAAAAAAAAAAAAAAAAAAAAAAAAAGGCCTGCTGTATTGACTAGGTTGACAATTTGGTCAATCTAACGATACCATGATAGGCTCTTGAATATCTTCAGCCGTAACTTCTTCCACACTTCGTTCATGCATTTATCAGTTAATTCTTGCTAAGCAAAGTTGCTATTTCCTATGGCATCCATGACGTTATATTTTTTTTTTAAAAATTGCACAAAAGAAACATAGATTTAAGGAAAGTCCAGCACAATGACGAATTGCCACCTTTTGCTGATTGGTTGATGTTTGTAAATAATCGTATTATATATGAATCAATGAAATTCTGCATTAATTTGAATAAGTGTAAATTTTGAGTTTTTTTTATGCTTCGAGCAGACCGTGTTATATCAAATCAGCATTAAGCAGGATCTTACTGTATATTAAAGTACCTTAGTGGCCTGCTGAATATACCTAAATTTCTTATTTGGCCTACTAGGTAAAAAGGCTGGACAACACTGGTCTATACAAATGCAGAATGCTTCACACAGAAAAAAAAATCCTGAAGAAATGATTTTCTAGTCAGAAATGGAAACATCATTAATTAATTAATTTAATTTAAATCCATGGATGAGAGTAAAATCTATAAATATTTAGAATTTCAAGAGACTAAATGAGTTTGGCCTGTTGAAGTCCTATTAACACATTAATTATAGTTAGTTATATATTAGACACACCCAAACTAGAACAACTCCAAAAGATAACATGAACAACATAAACAAAACACAACAACCACCTCTCTATACTCCTTAGAAAGTCTAAGTCAGCCTCATAAAGGAAGAGGATTGGGCATCACAAATATGTTAAACCAGCAATACTAACAAATACATACACAATGAGAGCTTTTCTACAGAAAATAACACAAAGCTGTAATTCTTACAGAAAAAACAGTACACCATCAAACTTACACAACATTAACCTGAATTTAATGCATTTTACAAAACTCACAGATACCATCAGGCAGTCTTGGGCTTGGAATGAGATCCATGGTAGGCACCCTAATGATCTCAGCCAGGACCACACTTACAGAAAAGTATCAAATTGCTGGCTGACTCATGGATGCTTGTTTGGAGAAATGAAAGGATTCGTGATTGTCAAACAAAACAGCAAGAATTTCTTAAAAGTGCTTCATAGAAAGCACATCTTATAAGACAAGAAATTTGTAAGAAATGCCACAGTATGCACAAGACTATACAAAACATCACATCAGGTTGTAAGATTTAACACAAACAGACTACTTACATTGACATAACCAAACAGCAAATATAACAGATAAAAAGTTTGTGTACAAACACAAAATTCTACACATCCAGAAACCATAGTACAAATACACTACTCAGATGATCACCAAAAATAATACCCAAAATATACTATGAGTGTCACAGATAAAACAATCCACCACAACAAACTAGACATCACATTTTTTGACAAATAAACCAAAATAATATACTTGTAGTAACAATTAAAAACTGGGTTAATAACTAATATTAACATCAAAAACACTCACCAAACCAGAAAATCCAGCAGTATTTAAGAAAAAAACTTTATAAAAAAAAATGTTTTCAACAAACTTAAGTCATTATCTTCAGGTTGAAAAGTAATTTAGAAGATAGAGAATTTTGTTTGATTCTGATGAAACCGTGTTGTTGATTTTATCTTGCTTCTTTACAGACACACTAAGGTGACATTATTCTGCCAAGTGTTGAATAATGTCACCTTAATGTGTCTGTAAAGAACAAGATAGAGAATAACAGCATACATGATAACATGAGCAACCCAGGATATTTTCAATTAAAAATTGAATTTTGACTATTTACAAAAAATTTTTTTAATTTTTCGAGTCTATCTTTCATCCTTTTAACACACCACAGAAGTAACAGTATATTGGCTTGGATGAACTTCCACAGAACACGTGATAAATTATAACGAAATACACACAAAGTTAAAAACGATCGAAACGCCGACCTTTTATTTGAGGATTCGGCGTTTTTTAACATTAAAACAATGGTTACCATTTCTGACCATAACTACCATGTTCTTTAGCACAATATATAACTGGTTCAGGCCTCCTGGTGGTGATTTTGGGTAATCATAAAGTTCATTTGCATAACAGCATACATGATAACATGAGCAACCCAGGATATTTTCAATTAAAAATTGAATTTTGACTATTTACAAAAAATTTTTTAATTTTTCGANTATCACGTGTTCTGTGGAAGTTCATCCAAGCCAATATACTGTTACTTCTGTGGTGTGTTAAAAGGATGAAAGATAGACTCGAAAAATTAAAAAATTTTTTGTAAATAGTCAAAATTCAATTTTTAATTGAAAATATCCTGGGTTGCTCATGTTATCATGTATGCTGTTATGCAAATGAACTTTATGATTACCCAAAATCACCACCAGGAGGCCTGAACCAGTTATATATTGTGCTAAAGAACATGGTAGTTATGGTCAGAAATGGTAACCATTGTTTTAATGTTAAAAAACGCCGAATCCTCAAATAAAAGGTCGGCGTTTCGATCGTTTTTAACTTTGTGTGTATTTCGTTATAATTTATCACGTGTTCTGTGGAAGTTCATCCAAGCCAATATACTGTTACTTCTGTGGTGTGTTAAAAGGATGAAAGATAGACTCGAAAAATTAAAAAAATTTTTTGTAAATAGTCAAAATTCAATTTTTAAGATAGAGAATGATGTTTGAAAACCAAACTTAGTATGATATTATTGTTTACTTCCAACATGTGATTGATGTCAAACTTAAGTTTGCATAATGATGAAATAAAGATCTCCATGCATGGGACAAAATTTCTGCCTCCCTCTAATTAATCTCTGTATCTTTAAATGATGCCTAGAAAATTTCAAACCTGTCTAGGATTTTACAGTTTTTTTTAAATACTTCTGGATTTTCTACTT